AGAAGCATCGCTGAACGGTGAGTTTTCAGCCGATTTGGAACGCATTAAACGATGTTTAATGCGTTCCAATGGGCTTTCCCGTCCCGCTCAGCGATGCTTCACACAGCGAGGGTTAATCCGGGACAGATTAACCTCGCTGTGCGAGGCACCACTGTATTGTATGAAAATAAAATATGCTCTCACCCCCCTTTGAAAATTTGTTTGTACTTAAAGTAGCAGAACGATTGGTGTTCGTTCCACCCGAGGGATCTCAAGACAGCCAGTACTTCTGGGTGTTCTTCCAAGTCCCTCTGAGGTCTCACCCCTCTCTTATTTCTTCCCCAGGCTTGGATGAAAAAGTCTTTGTATTCCCGAGGCCCTCCGACACGGACTATGTTCTTCTCAAGCCTTCCCTAGAAGCGCCGCTGCAGCATTTCACTGTGTGCCTCAGTTTCTTCACGGACCTGGAGCGCTCGTTCTCCCTCTTCTCGGCTGCTTCTCCGCAACACGACAACGAGATCCTCGTCTACTTCATCGCTCCGAATAAGTACGAGGTCTGTGTGGGCGGCTCGTGCATCGCTTTCCGTGTACCCAAAATCACAGAGGAGACCAGCAGCCGCTGGGAAACGGCCTGCGCGACTTGGGAGTCCACGACAGGGATTGTTCAGTTCTGGATCAATGGGCAGCTCTTGCCCAGGAAAGGAGTGGCCAGAGGACACTCGATCCCAGCAAATCTGGTGGTCATGATAGGGCAGGAGCAGGACTCCTTCGGGGGGTCTCTGGATGCTGGGCAGTCCTTTGTTGGGGAAATGGCTGAAGTTTATATGTGGGACACAGTGGTGCCTCCCGAACAGCTGAGAAGAATCAGGAGGGACACGATGCCCACGCCGCTGGTGGACTGGACAGCACTGAAATACGAAATAAAAGGCTACGTGGTAATAGAGCCCACTTTGCAATGAGCCCTAGAAGCAGGGAGGGCATCCTCCGTTGAACCGGTTAGGTCGGCACAATGAGTGTGCTGGATGCAACCTACCCAGTTAGCGAGGACTGCCTGGAAGCTGTTTTTCTACTCTGCTTGGGACATGCATTTGCGTCTGACCCCAAAACTTGCCAACATCCCTGGTTTTCTCTGTAGGATCTTTGGTTAAGTGGCGTCCATTAATTAGAATACACTTTTCTTTTGAATTTCCTTGATCGTTGTTATCTGGAGGTACATCATATTCATTACAGCAGTGGTCCCCAATCTTTTTAACACCGTGGACTGGTCGAGGAAGGCGGGACACCCCCCCACCACACTTGCACGCATGCGCAAAGGAGCGTATGCACTCACGAAGGCACAGGAGCACTTACGCACCTGTGCAAGGGGCAGGGGGCACTCCTGGGCACTCATGCGCGTGCACGAAGGGGTGGGGGGCATTTGCACAGAGGTGCGTGCATGCGTGAAGGGGCTGTGCAGGGAGGAGTGCATGCGGAAGGCGTGGGAGATCTGTGTCCATGGCCCGGTCTGACCCAGGCCAAGGACCATCACCGGGCCGTGTAATGCAGGGGTTGGGGACCCCTGCATTACAGTCAGGGCGTGGGAGATCTGTGTCCATGGCCCAGTCTGACCCAGGCCAAGGACCATCACTGGGCCGTGAACCAGGGGTTGGGGACCCCTGCATTACAGTCATCATCTATGTCATGGATTTTTAATTTTTAAATTTCTTTTTAATTATCTGTTCTGCCATTGTATTTTAGATCTTAATGGTTTGTAAATATTTGGGAATAAATAAATAATGGAAAGCAATGAGGCTTTAAAGGAATCACCAGTAATTCGCTCCAGTACATTTATTTACAGATGTGCTGTTTGGGTTTGAATGGACTCTGGCGTCCCAGGAGAGACCTTTTCTTTTTTACTCTGCAGTCCCAGCAAAATCACACGCCGAGCCTCAGAAGCTGCTGTCAGAAGGAGGAGACGGATCAAACCTGATCAGGCTGATGTAGGCATCTTCGTCCAACAGACCCTTTGAAAAAGCTCCAAGGTCCCAAGTTAAAATAGATGATAAATGTAAAAACTCCAAAGTTCTGCTCCAATTAAGATGAAAGTGAGTAAATAAGTCTTCCAGCTCTAATTTATGGCTGAATGCAGCTGTTATCGTTGTTTGGGGAGATAGGGCTGAAGCTAATCTCTGCATCTTTCTCCATTGGCCGCTTGGGAGCCAAACTCCCTAGGATCTTACCGCAACGTCAAACATTTTTTTTACAAAATTTAAAAAGACTTGCTAAAACCAAGATTAAAAGCTGAAGGTTTGAGCAATTAAAACTTAAAAAGCATAAACTATTTAAACTATTTGAAACGGTTTAAAACTCATTAAAACTACTAAAAAAACAGGAGCAAAGAGACACAAACGCTGCTCCACCCTACAGCCGGAACCGGAACCAGAAAGAATCATGGGAGTTGTAGTTGTAAAAAATCAGAAGGGGCGAGTAAGCAAGGTTCAAGAGAGCAGGACGGTGGACGTCAGGCAGAGAATGGAGTTGTTGTTTCCACAGATCAATTATAGAGGAGCAGCAAGCAACAAACGCCGAGAGGCCTTGAATCCGATGTTCCACTGGCAAGTTTTCATGCGAGCTTTGGATCTTTGTGTGACAAGTCTCTGCCGATGCTTGTCCCTCAATTTGGCTACTGGGGTTGGAGAATCTGGTGGTGATTCCGTTCTCTGTGCTTTTAATTGCCTAACTGAAAATAACGCCTCAGATGCCAGATTTTCTTCGGCTGATCTCTCTCGGTCCTCTTGTGCCGGCAGGAGCGATCCACCTTGGAGGAATAAAAAGAGACACCCTGTTACAAAATGGGGGGAGGATACATGGATTCATGAGAAAACGAGAAAAAGAGAATAAAAGAAAATACTTATTGTTAATATTTACGTGCCAAGTGGAACTCAATAAACTTTTTTTTAAAACAATTGCAATTAGAACTAATAAATGAAGACCATGATTATTACTGTGTGACAGGGGATTATAATGCTGTTTTTTGAGAAAGAACTAGACACCAAACAGACAAATTAACAAAAAAAGAGAGGAATAATCTCAAGAAACTTTTACAATTGGTGGGAAAAATAAATATGATAGATGCTTGGAGGACATGTAACCCAAAGACAAGAGATTATACTTTTTCTTCTAACGGACACAAATCGTGGTCAAGAATCGATACATGTTGGATCTCAACAAGCTAAATGAAAGAATTGGAGCAAATAGACATTTTACCAAATACATTAGCAGACCACAGTCTAATTTCATTACAATTGGGTAACAAATCAAAAGAAATTAACTGGAAGCTTAATACTTCACATCTAAAAAATGAGGAATTTATTAAGAAGTAAAAAAAACACATGGATTTCTTCTTCAAACAGATTTATGAGGCCGGAAACACCAATGACAATGGTTTGGGAGGCAAGTAAGGCATTTTTAGAGGAGTAGAGCTGAATGTATAATTAGATGGGCACAAAATATAGCACATAACATTGATATTGGTCAATGGTTGCAAAGATGGCAACATAATATAAAGCTCACAAAATTGGTTCATTTCAAGGAGAACATATATAAGTTGTTTTATAGGTGGCATATGACTCTGCAAAAAACTATCAAAGATTTATACAGATGTATCAAATGTTTGTTGGAAGTGTGAAGCACACGAGGGAAGTTTTTAATCACATGTGGTGGACTTGTAGAGTAGCGAAGCAATTTTGGATAGGTGTACATACTCTGTTACAAAAAATAATTACTTTCTAAGGTTCCACTAACACCAGAACTGTTTTTACTGAGTATTATACCAAATAATATAAATAAGACAAAGAACTACTTCGTTATATACATAGTCACTGCAGCCAGAATTCTTTATGCTAAGAACGGGAAGAAATCGGTGATACCGGAACAAGAGGAACTTATTGAAAAGTTACAGGAAGCGGCAGAAATGGATCTCTTATCAGAAGTGCTGAAAGACTGTCCAAAACAAAAGGCAACAGAATGATGGGATTTATTATATAAATGAGTCACCAGATAGTATTTCAATAACATAAATTAAAATGAGGACATAAATTAAAATGAGGACATAAGTTCTAACTTACATTTGAGGGCGACTATACAGCAGAAAAATGGAAAGTCGAGTTGATATGGCAACATATTTTATGGTCTCCTCCCCCTGTTTTTTTCCTTTTTCTTCATATCCCTCCCTTACCTTTGGTATCCCCTACCCTATCCTATATTGTTAATGAAAAACAAACAAAAAAACTCAGTTCAAGGGACTTCAGTCCCTTCCTGCCTTTCAAGTTGTTTCATTCTTTTCCTGCATTCTCCATGTTCTGTTTCTGTTTTCAGACGGGCACCCTAATATTGCAACGCTCAGATACTTAAATCACTGAGCTCTCCAGCCAGCTCTACTACCATCTCGTATGTCCTAGGTTTTTTTATTAAAATAGATTAAAGTTTATAAAAATCTCAGCTTTTTCCACTGCAGAAGGCATGTATACACTTGTTGTTATGGGCCATAGATTTACGGTGATCCTAAAGGGGCTATTTAAAGAGTGGTTTTACCAGTTCCACACACCCTGTGGGTTTTAATGGCTGAGCAGGGATTCAAACCCAGATCTCTGGAGTCTCAGTCATTAATTTGCTCACTGCACCACACGGGATATCACATATATATACCTATACACCATCCCCAAATAAGGGAACCACGATATCATAAGCAGCAGAGGCAAACCAAGTATGTTATCCATATTAAAAATCCTTGAATGTATTTCTTAAAATTGAAAAAAAGGGGGTTTTCATCGGTTCTTCTTTTTTACCTTTGCAAAAAAGTGGATTATGGTTAACACTCTTTTAACAGTGAACGCTAGCTCCAATAACTTCATTTTCAAAAAAATTGTTTCTAAGATTCCGCTTTTAATGTTTTCAGACCGTGGATGATTGAATCAGTGGATACTGGTCCCGCGGATAAGGAGTCTTACTATACTTGCAAACCACCCTGTTCCACAAGTGTTTCTTGCATCCTGCATTAGATGAAGATGGTAGCAGCTTCTGAAAACATGCATTGCATTGAAGGCCACCCAGCCTTTCTCAAAGGCAGGAGCCGCTATCCTGTATTTTCCGAGACTCCCACTGGCCCATCTCCCTGAAAATCCCCCAAATGAAAGCTTTGCTTGGAAAGCCTCACTAGGTGCCCTTCTAGGTGCATCGGGTGAAATTTTTATTATGCTCAGGAGGCATGGCCTGGGGAGTTCGTGCTGGCTCTGAACCGACTCATGCGTGTTTTCTCCTTGCACGGAGATTCCCGGGATTCGAATCCAAGACCTCTTCCACACAGAGGAAGAGCTCTGGGGAGGGGGATCTTCTTCCTGAAAAGCACAAATCCTAAAGTTTGTCCTCGAATCCACGCAGAATCCAGACAGAAAAACCACACACACACCACGGAGGAGGCGACTGGAGGTTTATTTGGTCTCGCTCCACAGGTTTCAGTCTGTCCCTCGATGGGGCCGGGCTAGACACAGTAGGGGTTCCCTGGCCCTTGTGGAGCAGGAGGGGACATGCCAGGAAGCTGGGCACGTTTGCAAACTTCTCAAATAAGGGTGGCATAATTGTTGTTGTTTAGTTGTTAAGTCGTGTCCGACTCTTCGTGACCCCATGGACCAGAGCACGCCAGGCCCTCCTGTCTTCCACGGCCTCCCGGAGTTGTGTCAAAGTCATGTTGGTAGCTTTAATGGCATTGTCCAACCATCTCATCCTCCGTCGTCCCCTTCTCCTCCTGCCATCACACTTTCCCAACATCAGAGTCTTTCAGGAGGTGTCACTTTCCCTTATCAAGTTAGAAAACAATAGAATTATAGAATAGCGAAGTTGGAACAGAAAGCCGTTATTGTTGCAGCAACTTCCTAGTAACGAATTCAGGATCCAGGGGCTGAAAAAACAC